CACGACATGAGTCAGCATGAAATACACGACATGAGTCAGCATGAAATGCACGACATGAGTCAGAATGAAATACACGACATGAGTCAGCATGAAATGCACGACATGAGTCAGCAACAAAGACAACCCAACATGTGAAAGTTCCCCGGCTCACACACACCGCCGTCCCACCTCACCTTTCCATAGTTGGTAGTGGTTATGTTCCACTTTCTGACCCTGTTTCCATCGTAAGCATACGAGTCTGGAGTGTCTCCGACTCCCTCCTGAACACAAACACATCAGATTCTGCACAGAACTGTCCCACTCTGAACACAGAAACATACCTGATGTTCTGCCTCATCAGGTCCCAGAACTAACATCAGGTATCAGAACCAATCACTCGGAACACTAACCTCCTGATTGAAGCGGCAGCTGAGAGTACACCAGCCAATCTGCATCAGACCCTGAGATGAGATCAGAACCTCGTAGGCCCATTTCCCTGCAGAACCACAGACAGACCCAGAGTTCAGTGGGAGTATTGTCAGAATCATGACCCATTTGGATAAAAATGCATTTACCTTTATAAACACATGTGGTGGCTCTGATGGAGCTGAAGTTGCTGTGGCCAATCACCTGCAGTAAGAAACCATTTACATCAGAAACATGGTGTGACAGGATTCGTTTGGGTTTAACAAAGAGGTTCTGATGAGTCTCACCCCCAGCAGGTCATCATCTACGAAAAGAAGTCCTTCGAAGCCACTGGTGTGGTCCAGAACTATGGGCTGAGGACCAAGACGATGATCAACAGACTCATCTGAAAACATTCAGACATCAGATAGATGTTTGATCAGATAGCTCATTCAACATCAGCAACATCTACAGGATCAACTGTGAACAGCAACATCTAGTGGATCAACTGTGAACAGCAACATCTAGTGGATCAACTATGAACAGCAACATCTACAGGATCAACTATGAACAGCAACATCTACAGGATCAACTGTGAACAGAAACTTCACAGGAGCAACTGTGAACAGTGACATCAAGAGAAGCAACTGTGAACAGCAACATCTAGAGAAACAACTGTGAACAGCAATATCAAGAGGAGCAACTGTGAATAGCAACACATACAGGAGAAACTGTGAACAGCAACATCTACAAGAGAAATTGTGAACAGTAACATCAAGAGGAGCAACTGTGAACAGCAAGATCAAGAGGAGCAATTGTGAACAGCAACATCTACAGGAACAACTGTGAACAGTAACATCAAGAGGAGCAACTGTGAACAGCAACATCAAGAGGCGCAACTATGAACAGCAACGTCTACAGGAGAAACTGTGAACAGTAACTTCTACATGAGCAACTGTGAACAGCAACATCTAGAGGAGAAAACTGTGAAGAGCAACATCTACAGGAGAAACTGTGAACAGTAACATCAAGAGGAGCAACTGTGAACAGCAATATCAAGAGGCGCAACTATGAACAGCAACGTCTACAGGAGAAACTGAACAGTAACTTCTACAGGAGCAACTGTGAACAGCAACATCAAGAGGAACAATTGTGAACAGCAACATCTACAGGAGCAAACTGTGAACAGCAACATCTAGAGCAGCAAACTGTGAACAGTGACGTCTACAGGAACAACTCTGAACAGCAACTTGTAAAAGAGCAACTCTGAACAGCCACTTGTAGAGGATCAACAATGAGCAGCAACTTGTCTGTGCTGGTGGTTGCTCCTGTACCTGTGCAGTCCTCAGGTGGTTCTCCTTCAGACAGAAGGTTCTCCAGGTGAGCGCTGAGCTCCTGGAAACTCAGAGACTTCCTGCAGACAAACAGATTGAAACGTTTGAGTAAAGATGCACTCGGAGCAGGAGATCATTTTAAAGTTCTTCAAAACATCTAAAACAGTTCCTGTGTTTGTTTCTTGTTCCAGCTCTGAAGTATGAAAGAACACACTTCACACACGGGTCATACCGGGTCAGAACAGGCCCACAGCATGACTGATTACTCATCTAGCTGTAATAAAAACATAAGGTCGGTCCATTAGTCTGAACCCGGTGGAGCTGAAGTTCTGCCTCTGAACCAGAACCACAAGAGTCCAGGAAACAGCAGCTTTGTAAACCGACGCCACCAGAACCTGATCAGAAAATAAAACTTGTTGCTTCTCTTCTGGTCCGTCACAGGCTCCAGTTCTGATCCAAACAGCAGAGCGCCAGGAAGTCCTCATCGGAACATGACAGTTATTGATGTGTTTATATTAAGATTGATTGACAGGTGGCAGCACGGTGGCGCAACTGGTAGAGCTGCTGCCTCTCAGCGAGAAGGTCCTTGGTTCAAATCCCGGTCCAGGGGCCTTTCTGGGTGGAGTTTGCATGTTCTCTCCGTGCATGCGTGGGTTTTCTCCGGGTGCTCCGGTTTCCTCCCACAGACCAAAAACATGCATGTTAGGCTGATTGGTAACTCTGAATTGTCTCTAGGTGAGAGAGAGAATGTTTGTTTGTCTCGTTTGTCTCTGTGTCCCTGTGATGGACTGTCCAGGGTGTCCCCTGCCTCTCGCACAGTGATTGCTGGACATGGGCACCAGCGACCCCCGTGACCCAAAATGGAATAAACGGGTAAAGATAATGGATGGATGGATGATTGACAGGTCCATGTGTTTATATTCAGATTGATTGACAGGTCCA